GCGAGGCAGTACAGGTCGCTGCCCGCCTCGACGGCCGCGCGCTTGCCCTTTTGCTGCAGCAGCACGGTCGCCAGCTCGAGCAGCGTCGCGAAGTGGGGCGCGAGGGCGACTCCGTGGCCCGCGATGCAGGCGCGGAGCAATGCGGTCTAGAGGAGGCGGCCCTCGGCCACGCGGCGCCCTACATCTGAGCGAGCCCTCACCGAGCCGCGTGTGTGCGCACGTGCGCCGCCCCCGTCGTGCGGGTGTCTACCGGGAGCGGATGGGTGGGGAGGGGAGGTCATGTCGCCGCCCCGCCGCTCTGCGCCCTCTGCGCGGCCGAGGCGCCCCCTTTTGGGAGCCGCTCTCCAGTTCTCTTCTAGTTGGTGTGCTCCCACATGCGGAAAGCGCGTAGATTGTCTTACCCAGAAAAACGAAAAAAATCTAAAATGGCACCACTTGGAGCACTTGGAGTGCAGTCATTAGCCTCACATCCAGGTGGACGCCGACGTTTTTCTCCTTTGTTTGTTCCCGAAATGTCTCTCACGCTCTCGGTCTCGCTTCTGCTGCCGGCCGCGCAGTCACTGCTGGTCCCGCCGCTGCCAAGCACGCGTGCTGCTGCTGCGCCTTTCTCACGCTGCAGCCGCGAGCCTCTCGCCTGCGCGCCTGCCGAGCCGCCTGCAACCGACGCCGCGGCGGCGCTGGGAACTGAGGCGGACGTTGCTCAGCGCTGCGACTACCCCGGTTGCGTCGACGGCCGCGTCATGGGCGGCTTGCCGGCCATTGAGATCGGCCCACCGGTCAACAGGTTCCGCCCCTTCGAGTGGTGGCCGATCAAGCCGTACCGGCCGTGCCCGGAGTGCGCTAAGCGGGGCATGAAGTACACGCGCAGCGGGCAGACCCTGGACGAGATCGTCTTCAAGAAGAACCCGGCGGGCGGCTACTACGGCGACGACGAGGACTGAAGGGAGCGGCGCGAGCTCCTCTCTGCCAGCACCTGTCTATCTGCACATTAGTCGGCTCATGCGAAATGCGATCTCCCCTAGTTCCATGCGCGTTCAGTCGTCATTTTTTATGTTGATTGCGGCTCTGGCCCACCACTCGGGGGGCGCCAGCAGACGCGGCGCGTTAACTCGCGTTCTCCACCGCATCCGATGCCGTGTTGGAGCCACCCTGTTCGCTGTTATTGTGGACGCCAGGACGGGGATATGTGGAGAGTCGAATGGCGGCGCCCATATAACATATATGGCGGAGTCCGGAGAGGCAGGCGTTGCCCTCGAGGCATTGCCTCTCTCAAAAGTCTCTCTCAGAGGGGCTCGTCTGGCCTTGAGAGAGGTGCGTTCGTGTGCCCGAAGCCCCGAACAGCCCCTGGGGACCCCACCCCCCCCGGCCCTCGGCCTCGCGGGACGCACACGTAGAGTACCGGCGACGCGCGCTCCGCCGTCACGGCTCAGGCGTCCACGCGACACTATCTGAGAGAACTCGACAGTCGAGTGGAGACACTGCCAGAATCTGAGTGAGACACTCTCTATCGGAATCAACGCGCCGCGCCGCGCTCCTCTGCGCTCTGGCCACTGTCCCGCTCCTCTGGCCATATCCCCCCTAACGGCGCGAGAGGAGAGAGAGAGCGCGCGCGCGCGCGCGCGCGCGCGCGCGCGCGAGCGAGAGCGAGAGCGAGCGAGCGAGCGAGCGAGCGAGCGAGCGAGAGAGAGAGCGAGCGAGCGAGAGAGAGAGAGAGAGAGAGAGAGAGAGAGAGCGAGAGAGCGAGAGAGAGAGCGAGAGAGAGAGAGAGAGAGAGAGAGAGAGAGAGAGAGAGAGAGAGAGAGAGAGAGAGAGAGAGAGAGATAACGAATTAGCCCTACATGTCCGCATGCCCTGCTTCGCGCCACACGCGTCGCAGTCACCCGCTGTCACCCTGTGCCGCATAATGGCCAAGCAGCTTCAAAAGAGATACCCGACCGCCGCCAGCCGCCGCCCCTCCTCGCCGTCCACCACCGCCGCGCTCGTACCAGCGCGGGCGGCGGGGAGGCGGGGTCCAAACTGCTCCTCAGAAGAAGAAGCAGCAGCTGCTGCTGCCTCCTCCTCGCCGGAGGTGTAGCCCTCGCCGCCCTCGGCGCCGAGGCCGCGCGCGCCCCCAGCGGCCGCGCTGCCGCCCGCCTGCCCGCCCGCAGCCAGCCCAGACGGGCCGTCGTGGGAGGACGGGCAGGCAAACAGTGCCAAAGCCGCAGCTGCTGCCTCAGCGCTGCGCAGCGCGGGCAGCGCGCAGTCGCAGATCCGCTCGAAGTCGCGCGCGCTGATGCCGAGCGACGCGGCGCTCGCGCCGCTCCGCACCGCCTCCAAGAGGTCGTACACGTTCTCCAAATCCTGCAGCTGCGGCTGCAGCAGCAGGCTTGAAGCTCTGCGCGCGCCCACGTGGGCGCGCTGGAAGAGGGCCGCGAGGCCCTCGTCCGGGTCGATGGCCGGCCGCGAGGCCGCCATCGGGAGGGTATGCCACGGGCGCGACCCGGGCTTCGTAGAGGTTGGCCGCCACGAGCGCCGAGAGAGAGCGGAGCGCGAGCGACGCCACAGAACGCGAAAAGATTAAAAAAGAATATGACCCAACCCAAGATCCTCAAAAACTGGGAGAAGGACCTCCTACAAAGCTCAGGGTGGATAAGAGAGGCAGGAAGAGACTCAAGGGCGCGAGTACCGCGACCCGACCGACCGCACGACAGCTCGTCAAGATTCCGCCACAAAGTTGAGACAAGCAACAAAGTAGTCCACCCCCAGGATTGGATTCACGCGGCAAGAGCAATACATAGCACGCTAGTTCCGCCCACAATCACCGACAACTATTGCCGACACATCCTCTACAGGAAGCTGGTCCTTCGGAAACAGCTCAAGGCGTACGGACTAGACACCACAACACACACGAGGTGCAGGCTTTGTAACAGAACCTCCGAAACGCTGCGACACCTCGACGTATGCCCAGTCGTCCGGGCGGTCTTTGCACAAGGAGAGTCACTAGACATACAACCGCCGAGATTACTCACCATCATCGGAACCTCGGCAGACACGCCTGAGGTCCACAACGCACTTCATCTACACATGTGGAATCAAATAATAGTCTCCTTCTACGAGGAGGAAGACATCAAACCCGAACAAACCTGGAAGGCGGTCTTGAACCTATTAGTGAGAAACATGCAAGCGTACTCGGGAGAGGCCAAAACTAGGCTCCGACGAATAAGACGCAAGAGCGACCGAGTCAGCGACTCGACCATGAAAGAAATCAGCAGCAAAGTAGAACCCATGGGGACGATTGACTACTACGGCAGACTACGACTGAGCAGGCGAGTGAATGACGAACTAAGGAGAGTGGGACTCGACCACCTCACCACAGAAGAGGCGACGACTCACGCACGAGAGATCAAGTTTGTCAAGGCCTCACAAGCTAGCACATCGAACACCTAAAGACTTAAAGGCATCACACTACAAGGAACGCGGCTGAGCTGACTCCCTGTAGGGGGCACCTCGGTGAACCAGGGACTAGGATCTCGCGCAGACGACACAGGGCGTGCTGCGCCCCGCGCGATCCCTGGCGCAGAGGAGGCTGAGCCGCCGAACTTAGGATGCCTGCGGAAGGCTGGCGAGAGCCGGCGACCCACACCCGCAACTCATATTCATCACAACAAGCCATTATGCCCCAACAGGCCCCACCACCCCACCCCTAGGCAATGTAGCGCACATGTCTAGTCCGGAGAGGACAGGGGGGGGGAGGGGGGGGGTAGGGGATACGGCACTGTGCCGAGTATTTGGGGTTAAAGCATTTTTTTTATTTATTCACCACCCGTACTTTATATTTGCAACTAAAGTAGTCTTGTACCTCTTTTCGCACAAATACAGCGCGGCTTCAGCGGAAAACGGCGCTGGTGGAAACCCACCCGCTACAAGAGTCTCGTCCTCGGCTCGTGCTGCTCCCGTCTGCGCCTCGCCCCGCCCGGACCCTCGCGAGCGAGCAGCGAGAGCCCGACGGCGAAGACCGTGCCCTGCATCACTCCCGCCGCGCAAGTCGGGCCCCAGACGGGCCAAGGGTCGCCGAGGCCGACCGCCTATGCGTGCGTTTGTGTGGTCGTCACGTACACTGTGTGTGTGTGTGTGTGTGTGTGTGTGTGTGTGTGTGTGTGTGTGTGTGTGTGTGGCGACGCGGTTGTCTCTGTGTGTAGTTGCGTGCTAACTGTAGTGCGCGTCGGGCTGGTGGTTCCACACCGAGTTTGAAAGCTCCGTTTCTCTACGCTTCTCTTGGTTGTGGTGCGTGCTCGAAGGGCCCGAAGGCCGGGCGCCTGGAAGGCGGCGACAAGGAGGCAGCCAGACGCCTGTGAGATGCAGCCGGAGGTTATAGCCGAGGGATAGTCCGAGATACGCCGAGCCAAACAGCCGAACTACAGCCGAGCTACAGCCGAGAAACAGCCGAGAAACAGCCGAGATACGGCCGAGATACGGCCGAGATGCAGCCGAGATGCAGCCGAGAAGCGACGCCTGCAGGAAGTAGTACGAGTAGGCGAGCGAACCTCGCCTGTAGGGCGCGGTGGTAGTAGTCAGTCCGTCAGTCAGTGGTACACGCGTCCCTAGCACGGACGACGGGGCAGCACACGCGCACTCGCGGAGCACACACGGGGCATGGCACACGAGGCGGTGTGTGCGTTCTCAGGGAGCCGAGGCGTCACCACACAGACAGAGTGCAATCGTAGTACGAGTAGGCGAGCGGCCCTCGCCTGCAGTGATCTCGCGCGATCTCGGGCGATCTCGTGTTTGATCTCGTGTGATCTCGGTTGATCTCGGGTGAGCGACCCTCGCTGACGCCATGTCTCGGCGAGTTGCGGCGCGAACGCCAGGAGCACAATCGCGCTCGCTGCAGCACTCAGGGCCTACGCCGCGCCAGGCGAATGTGACATCCGCCAGGGGTGACGCCGACCCCAGGGAGGTGCGGCGTCGTCGGCGTCCGTGCTGCGCGTGTGCGCCTCCGCCGCAGCGAGAGAGGGCGCTGAGCAGGGTGCGCGGGCATCAATGGCCGCGATGGCCGCGCCGAGGGCAAGCAGAGCGAGTACCAGCGCCGCGGTGCCGCGCCGCGGTGTCGCGCCGTCGTTCGGCGGCAACGATACGACGAGAAGGAGGATTGCGAGCAGGATGAGCGCCGTCTCTGCTTGCTGGAGCGCGTCCACGAGGCTGGGCAGGCAGCGAAGGACGCTGTCGGCGCAGGAGCGGAGCGACGGAGCCTTGACGGTGAGCGTGGCGAGCAGATTGAACCACGTGAAGGTGAGTGTGAGGCCGGACGTGGCGGCACTCACGCCCGCGCTGGAGCCGCTGCTCGCGAGCTTGTGCAGCTGCGGAATCGCGCCGAATGCAGTGGCTGCGATGATGATGGCGCCAGTCTTGACGCTTAGCGGGTCAGGAGGCTCCGCCGGGTGGCACGCGAGCATCACAGCATCGACAGTCAGAAGTCAGCGAGGAAGAGCGACCGCGCTCAAACAGCGAGGAAGAGCTCTCTCACCGGGCCGGATTCCGTTTCTTTCTTTGAGCTTAGCCTTCGATGTTATGAAACAACGCAAGGCGGACATGGCATATCGCTCTCGGGCTCACAGACATCCCTCACACCCGCCGCACACCCGCGCCCCCGCGCGCGCGCGCCCCACCTCGGCCGGGAGAAAGGGGAGTGACAGTTTGGGATGAAAGCCCGAGTATGTTGTTCTTTCTTTTGAATTTAGCCTTCGATGTTATGAAACAAACGCAAGTGTGTGTGTGTGTGTGTGTGTGTGTGTGTACACAAACGCAAGGCGGACATGGCATATCGCTCTCGGGCCCACAGACATCCCGCACACTCGCCGCACACCCGCCGCCCCCGCGCGCGCCCCGCCCCGGCCGGGAGAAAGGGGAGTGACAGTTTGGGATGGCAACAGAACGAGTATGTTGAGTCCTGGCTCAACAACGCAGAGTAAAGGACTTGGGTGGTCCGGCCCACAAGTCCGGCTCACGCGCCTCGACTGACCGATCTACCGCACTGGCCACTTCCGCCCCCTCGCTCCCAACCCACCCACCTCGCCTCGGGCCGCGCCGCTTTCTTTCTTTACGGCCGCACGGAATCGCCGCCGGCGGGGGGCGAGGGCGCTAGCGAAGGAGGAGGAGCGAGAGCCCGGGGAGGATTGGGAGGGGGGTCGGCCGGAGGAGTACGCCGGCCTCTTCGACGGCCCATAAGGGGCCGTCGCCTTGTGCCTTTTGTAGTGCCAGTCCGACCGAGCCAGTCTGCTGTGAGAGGGGCTTGTACAGTAAAATTCTTTCTTTCTTTGGGCGCGAGTTCTGTTTCACGAGCGATTCTCTCAATCCCAACGCCGTTCTCCATGGCGCGCGTAGCTATGACAGGGACCGCGGCCGCGGACCCGGTGGCGGACGGGGCTGGCGCGCAAGCGCCGGCCACCGTCGTGCCGCCGGGGATGCGCAGCGGACCCTGGAATAGCTACGATAAGGCGCAACTGGAGGACGCGGTGGGTGTCGCAAGGTTGTTCGGTGCGTCCTGTGTCAGGGTGATAAGGCCTGGCTACGCGACCATCGAGGTCGACCTGAAGCACGAAAAGGCCGCGGGCGACCGCGAGTCGGTGAAGGCGGCGGAGCGCTCGTACATCGAGCGCACCGCGCCGAAGAAGAAGGAGCTCACAGATGAGCAGCTTGCGGCAAAGGCCGCGTCTCGCAAGGCCAAGAAGAACCGGCAGAAGGAGCGCCGGGCGAAGGAGGCTGGCGAGCGCGCGGCCGCGAGCGAGGCCGAGCGCGCGGAGCGCCCGCGCGCGCAGCTACGCGCGAACATCGAGTACGTGATGGACGGGCTACGGTCTGCAGCTGCGCGGGCGCGCAGCCAGGCCGGGTCCAAGACTCGGGTCACATATTCGCTGCCCCCAGAGAGGGACGACGGATATCGGCGCGGCCCTAGCGTGGTGTGCGCCACGGTCCCCCAGGGCACCGTGGCGACGACCGTCGCCTCGGACTGGCTCGCGAACGAGCTGGCCGAGCACGGAGAGATTGATGCGGCATGCCGCGACAAATATGTCATGCACCTGATGACGGCCGCCGGCGCCTCGGCGCCGGCCGACGCCGTGTTCAGGTTCACGGCTGGCGAGGCGATGCAGACCGAGGACGACGACGAGGACACCGGCTCCGAGGAGTATTCCGACGACAAGGCGTCCGACTAGCTGGCTTCACCCATATCTTACCCTCTGCCCCCCCCTCCTGCTACCCCCCAGGCTAGATGTAGTCACAGATAGCCCCACACAGCCCCTTACCCCTTCACCCTCGCCTCGCTGCTTGGTGTTTCTGAACACGTAGACGACCACGCTGTGGGGGTTGTGTTATAGGAGTAGGAGTGGGGTGCAGGTTGTGCTCACCCACGGCACCGGGCCGGTGCTTGCACTTTGAATGCCGTGGGGCTCCTGCCCGTGTCCGGGCGTGGAGATGCGAGGGTCGCCCCCCCTTGCCCCACCACTTTGTGTGTGTGGAGACGTTTACCTTACCTTACCTTACCATGTGCAAAAAGGTACATAATGACCTACATATTGTTATGTCGATAGAGGATGTCGGACGTTCGCCGAGTCCTTGGGAAGGCCAGCGCGTCGCGTCCCCCCGCCTCCCATTACACAAAAGCACAAGGCACAACCCCAGGCGGCCCGAAAGCGCACACCCTCCCTTCACGTAAAAGCACAACCCCGGGCCCGAAATCGCACAGTGTCAGTGACAGTCAGACATGAAAGACGCGGTCCCAGGGAAGGCGAGCAAAAACCTTCCCTTCACCCTACCGCCCCACTAGACCGTCCCGCTCCCGGTGCACACGCCTCGACCTTCTTGGGCAGCAACTGGTTCGACAGGTCTTCTCCGTGGCCTAGGCAGCCGTCCTCGCCCTTGCCCCACGTGAAGACGGCGCCATCGGCGGTGACGGCGAGGCTATGGGCGGATCCACTCGACACAGCGACGACGCGCTGGCCAGCAAAAGCCTCGACCTTCTTTGGCAACAGCTGGTCCTGCTGGTTGCCGTGGCCCAGCTGGCCATCCTCGCCATCGCCCCAGCTCCAGACACCGCCGTCGGCGGTGAGGGCGAGGCTGTGGTGTGCTCCAGCCGACACAGCGACGACGCGCTGGCCAGCAAAGGCCTCGACCTTCTTGGGGAGCAGCCGGTGCTGCTCGTCGCCGTGGCCCAAGCTGCCCCAGGCTGCATTGCCCCAGCTCCAGACACTGCCGTCGGCGGTGATGGCGAGGCTGTGGTACTCTCCTGCCGACAAACCGACGACGCGCCGCCCAGCGAAGGCCTCGACCTTCTTGGGCAGCAGCTGGCCCTGCGTGTCGCCGTGGCCCAATCGGCCATGGTCTCCATCGCCCCAGCTCCAGGCGGCGCCGCCGGCGGCAAGGGCAAAGCTGTGCTGCTCTCCAGCCCACAAGGCAACGATGCGCTGGCCAGCCAAGGCCTCGACCCTTTTGGGCAGCAGCTGGAGCTGCTGGTCGCCGTGGCCCAGCTGGCCAAAGTATCCCATGCCCCAGCTCCAGACGGCGCCGTCAGCGGTGGTGGCGAGGCTGTGGTACTCTCCAGCCGACACAGCGACGACGCGCTGGCCAGCAAATGTCTCGAGCTTCTTGGGCAGCAGCTGGGTCTGCCCGTCGCCGTGGCCCAGCTTGCCAAAGGCTCCACTGCCCCAGCTCCAGACGGCGCTGTCGGTGGTGAGGGCGAGGCTGTGCGACCTTCCAGCCGCCACGCTCACGGCGCGCTCGCCGCCCAGCGTCGACGGGAGGCGGGTCGGCGTGTTGAGCCGCAGCACGTCCTCGCCGTGGCCGAGAATGGGCATCCACACCTCCCCCTCGCCGCTCGACGAGAGCCGCCCCTCGCCGTCGATGAAGAGGCTGTGCCGAGCGCCTGCCGCCGCCCTCGCCGGCGGGTTGGACTCGTGCAGCAACGCAGCGAAGCACAGCCACCGCACGACGCAGCCCTCGCCCTCTGGCTTCGCCGGCAGCTCGAAGCCGCGCTCTTGCGCCCACAAGCGGATGCCGTCCTCTGCGAGCGAGGCGTGAAAGAGAAGCGAGACGGCCGCGACGTGAGAGATGTCGACGGGGCTGTCGAAGCGGGAGACGACGCGCACAAGGAGCTCCCTGGGGAGGTCGAGGAGGCGGGAGGGCGGCGGCGCGTTCGGCGAGGGCGCGGCGGTGGTGGCGGAGGCGAGGCGGCGCGAGCGGCGCGAGCGGCGCGACGGGGTGGACATCGCGAAAAAGAATTTTGAGGCCTCCCGCAGCCGGATAGAAGCCGCAGCCGGGTTGTTGCCCAAGGGAGAAACAGATTCTCAGAAAAAAGAAAATTTACTGACCGCTCGCCATGGCGGCGAGGAGCCTGAGCGCCACGGCTCAAAAGCTGGCGACGGCGCTCGCGGGCGAGCGGCGAGCGCTGAGCAAGGCGATCACGCTCGTGGAGTCGGCGGCCGAGAAAGCTGCGCTGACACATAAGCCGGCGGCACTGCCGCCGCCAGCGGCGCCTGCGCCACCGGCGCCTGCGCCGCCGCCGCCAGCGGCGCTGGCCAGTGACGCCGACAGGGCCCGAATCGAGCAGTCCCTCATGAACTACTACGGCTACGAGTTCCGCGAGGGGCAGCGGGAGGTCGTGGAGGCCGCGCTCGCCGGCAAGGACATCGCTGTCTTCTGGGCGACGGGCCGCGGCAAGTCCATATGCTACCAGCTGCCCGCGCTGCACACGGGCCGCACGGTGGTCGTCGTGTCGCCGCTCATCTCCCTGATGACCGACCAGGTCGAGCGCCTCAACAACGCCGTCGGGCAGGGGCGGCGCCAGCTGGCGGCCTTCTGCGGCTCGGCGCAGTTGGACAAGGACGTCGAGCGGCGCGCCTTCGACGGCGAGTTCCCGCTCGTGTTCATGTCGCCCGAGAAGCTCATGGCCGATGGGCTCGACCGCCTGGCGCAGCTGCACGCGCGCAATCCCCTGCTGCTCTTCGCCATCGACGAGGCGCACTGCGTGAGCGAGTGGGGGCACGACTTTCGGCCGCAGTACCGCCAGCTGGGCGAGCTGCGCCAGCGGATGCCGACCGTGCCGATCATGGCGCTGACCGCCACGGCCGTGCCGAACGTGCAGCGGGACATCGTGCGCTCCCTCGCGCTGCAGAACCCGTACGTGCAGAAGCAGTCGTCCTTCCGCCCCAACCTGGCCATCAAGGTGTCGCGCAAGCAGGCGGGGCTCGCAGAGAGCCTGGGCGGCCTCGTGCAGGAGCTGCTCGAGAACAACGGCGCCGCGGTGGCCTCGTCGACGCTCATCTACGTGCCCACCACGAACGAGGCCGAGAGCGTCGCCGCATTCCTGCAGCACCGCCAGATCAACGCCGACTTCTACCACGGCAAGCGCGACGCCAAGGAGCGCGAGAGCGTGCACGTGCGCTTCCTCTCGGGCCAGCTGCCGGTCGTCTGCGCGACGGTGGCCTTCGGCATGGGCATCGACAAGCCCGACATCCGGCGCGTCGTGCACTACGGCGCGCCCAAGACCGCAGAGGAGTACTACCAGCACATCGGGAGAGCCGGGCGCGACGGCGGTCCCGCGCGGTGCGAGATGATCGCGAGCGACGCCGACTTTGCCAAGTACAGCGGCGAGTTCTACACCAAGGGCCTGCCGCACGGCCAGGTGGAGCGCGTGCTCGAGTCGACCGAGAAGCTGCGCGGCTACGCCAACAACACGAGCGACTGCCGGTGGGTCGCGCTGCTCCGCCTGATGGGCGAGACCGCGCCCTTTGCGGCGTGCGGCACGTGCGACAACTGTGTGCGGCGCAAGAATTTCGCGGGCGACGTCGAGCGCAACTACGCCCTCGAGGCGCGGCTGCTGCTCACGGCGGCGACGAGGCACGGCGTCATGTCGCACATGGAGAAGGGCATGGCGACGCCGCCGCTCGCCGCGCTGCGCGCCGCGCTCAAGCCCAAGCGCTCGTGGCAGACGCTCAAGGACTTTGTGCCGCTCTTGGTGACCGCCGGGCTGCTGAGCCGCACGCAGAAGAAGAACCCGTCGGGCTTCGGCGCGTACGACCTGTACCACGTCACTCCCAAGGGGCACCAGCAGCTGCGAGAGCTCGCGCGCGTGCCGATGCCGGCGCTGATGCTGCCGGTGCCCGACTCGGTGCGCCGCGACGACAAGGTCGAGCAGGAGAAGGCAGCTTCGACGCGGCTCGAGGTGAGCAAGGCGCTGCAGAAGCTCAAGGCGGCGGGCATCGACGTGTCGATGGTGCCCGAGGCCGAGCTGGAGCCAGGGGCCGACAAGACGCCCGTCACGAGCGCGATCCTGCACCTGACGCGCACGCTCGACGACTGGAAGGCGCGCGGCCAGGTGGCGCGCGCCGAGGCGCACGAGGCGCTCTACCGACAGCTGATGCAGTGGCGCACGGCGGAGGCGGCGCGGCTGCGCATGGCGCCGGCCTCGGTGCTCGCCGACCACCTGGTCATGAAGATCTGCCATACCAAGCCGACGGAGAGCGAGTCGCTCCTCGCCCTCGGCGCCCGCATCACCGCCCAGGGCGCCAACGCGCTCATCGAGCTGATCCAGCGCTGGCGCACCGCCCATGCGGACGTGGCCGGCGGCGCGTCCCAGGGCCCGGCGGCCTCCCAGGGCGGAGCGTCGGCCGCGGGCGCCAGCCAGGGCGGCGCGCCAATGCAGCTGCCGCCAGACACGTACACGCCTGCGGCGCCGTGGAAGCTCGCGGTGCCGCCCACCGGCAAGAAGCCGCCTGTGTGGGACGCGTCGTGGCGCCGCTTCCAGCAGGGCCAAAAGGAGAGCATCGAGCAGATCGCGCTGACGCAGGTGAGCGGCAAGGCCATCCTGCCCTCGACGGTCAGCGGCCATCTGCTCACGGCGCTGGTGCAGGGCCGGCCGGTCGATTTGGCGCGGCTCGCGCAGCAGGTGACCGCGCAGGGGCTCGCGCCGCCGTCCGAGGACGAGTGGGATCGGCTCGAGAGCGCGGAGGCGGCGAGCGGGATCGACGTGGTGACGACCCTCAAGCTGGTCAAGACCGACATGTGCAAGGTCTTCCTCCCGGCGGCGGAGAAGGAGTGGGCCGAGCGCGACGACGCCGAGAAGGCCGAGGTTAGCTACTGGTACGCCAAGCTAGACTGGTACACGGCCTTCCGCAAGGTGGGTCTGGTGCCCAGCTTCGCGGGAGCGGCGAAGCAGGCGAGGATGGCGTGAGTCTTGCACTTGGAGCGCATGCGCGGGACGCAGCCTGCGAGCCGCGAGGCGGCGGACGAGCTGCTCTAACTCGTCCTGCCGCAGCGCGACGCGTCGCGCTGCCTCCGGCTGGGCATCTCGGGGCCGCCGGGCACCGGCAAGTCGACGCTCATCGAGTCGCTCGGCCTCGAGCTCGCCTCACGCCGCCACCGGCTCGCGGTGCTCGCCGTCGATCCGTCGTCGCACCGGAGCGGCGGCTCGGTGGGTGGACGCTCGAGCAGGTGGTGCGCTCCGAGTGGCTCTCGCTCGACGTCGAGGCGCCGAAGGGGTCGCAGCTCGTCGACGAAGGAGCCAAGCGGACTACTCATGAACGAGTCCAATAGGCGCCAAAGTGGTCGCAGCTCGTCGAAGCCGTCGTCGACGCGGACGCCGCCGACGGAGGCGCCCAGCTCGTGGGCCCTCCGTATGAATGGTTGATGAGTCCTCATGAGCAATTCACTACTCACAGGCGTCAGCTCGTGGGCCCTCATCTCCCCGTCGCGGCTCGCCACGGCCTCGCCCGAGCCCGAGCCGTCTGCCGGGATCGAGGTGCGGCGGGCATTCACTTTCGTCTTTTTGCCGCGCACGCTCGACTCGGAGAGCGCCCGACCCCGGCTTCGGCTCCTACCCTGGCAGCCACGCGCCGTCCCCGACCACAGGGCTGCGCGCGCCCAGCGCTCGAGGTTCGTGCCGCGAGCAGAACGGCAGCAGGGGCAGCAGCAGTGGAAACGGAGCCTGACGGGGAGGGGGGCGGGCCGAGCCCCACTCCTGGCCCCACTCCGGCTCGCCAGCCACTACACTTCAGACTGAAGGCATGCACCATAACCAGAACTCCACAGCATCCCAGTCTTCACAAGTAGTTGCCGCCCCACTGCGAGATCGAGCGGAGAGCTCTGACTCTCGCTTCCACCGATGGATGTATTGACCGCGCCCCCCCAACTGTTTGATTCTCATGCCCCCCTTGCAGTATCAATAGCCTTTTTTTTGAGCAGTCTCTAAAAGTAAAACATCGAGGCATTCACGAGCCGCGGAGCCGCGCCCGTGAGCCGTGGTGCGCGGAGACCGGAGTGAAGCGTAGAAAGGACACTTAGGCTTATCTAAATGGTAACTAAGCTCTCTGTGGGGACTCTCTCACTCTCTCTGCGAGTGCGCGGCGCAGTGCCAGTGTGGCCACAGTGCATGTCTCTGACCCCGGCGTGTGTGCCGTGTGCTGCCACAATCACGGGGCAAAAGCCCAGAGCACTGTGATCGTCTGCGTCTTGGCTACTGTGCATTTTCGCCTGGAACCTGCGTGGCTGCGTGAGAGTAAAAAGCTAGCTACGGCTAGGCCGTCAGCACAGTTCAGCTCGGACCTCGAAGGAGCCTAATTCGCTCCAGTTCCTTCGCTCGCTGGGAGATGAAGGTGGGCTGGAGGCGGTCAAAGCTGTCCGCGGCGACGTACCGCCAGCCGCCGGATCTTGGGCGGCGGCCCAGCAGCTCGTAGGACATCTCCTCTCGCCGCCTTTCCGCTTCGTCCAGCTCCGCCTGCAGCCCCTCGATGATGCGAGCCGTGCCGATGCGCGCGAGCTCGAGGCGAGTGTCACTCGCGGCTATTGTGTGCTGATGGACGAGCACCAAGGCGCGAAAGGCGGTCGGAAGGGGCATCCCGCCCTGCTTCTCAGTCTGCTGAGCGCCGCCGCGTTGCCGCCGCGTTGGCGCATTGCGTCGCTGCTCAACCAGCATGCTGAGGGATATCACGGCGCCGACAAGCCACTCCACATCCAGTAGCCGTGGTTGCTCCGAACTCCTAACTTGTACAGTGCCAGCTGCAGTCTGGACGAAAGACCGCGTTCTTGCCCAACCTGGAGGTGCCACTGCAGAATACCACCCTCCCGCACTGCCGAGCACTCCAAAGCCAGAGATGAGTCCGGTGACGGTCGCTGGTTTGTAGTCACGGGGCGCGAGGTGCATGCCGTGCGGGATGGCGGCGGGGCGGATGGTCAAGCTCGTCAAGGTCAGGTCATCCAAGTTTACGCCCGTCCGGACGGGGCGGCGAAAAATCCCTTACGCGGTGAGGATTCTCTTTTGCACGGGATGGAAGCTTCCTGCTTCATCTGATGGATTTTCCATTTTCCTCGTGTGCGAGAGGGGAGGGCTCGGCCGGAGCACGTGACGGGAGAGGGCAAGGAAGGGGGACGGGGAGAGGGGGGGGGGGGGGCTCAATTTTTTGAAAAGAATTCTTAAAATACAAGCCTCTCTTGACAGCACACTATGACAGATCTGAGATATTCGTGGGGGCTTGGCGGGCGGTTTTGGTTACCAGGTACGGGGCAGCATGCTCCCGTTGCTCACCGCTATGCTGTTGTATCTTTCCGTTTCTTTTGGTGCGCACGGCTCTATCAGGATTAAGCTGGAAACCGCCGAGCGCCGTGTGCGCGAGGTGCATAGACCTCTGTAGTGTGCCAGACCAGCAGGGTGGCGCGGTCTATTTTTTTCAGTGGAGAGTTCCTATCTAGATACGCACGGAGAAAAAGAAAGAAAGAAAAGGGAGGGATGGGAGAACGGCACGCCGCCACCACACAGGGATTAAATAAATAAATAAATACAACGGACACGCCAAACGAGGGGTGGGAGAAGGACAGGGTCCCCACCTGCACAAGCAGGATCTTGTAGGACGATTTAAGTACGCACCGTTTTTTCTTTTTCTTCGCGATGTCCACCCCGCCGCGTCGCCGCTCGCGCCGCCTCGCCTCCGCCTCCACCGCCGCTCCCTCGCCAGACGCGCCGCCGCCCTCCCGCCTGCTCGACCTCCCCAGGGAGCTCCTCGAGCGCGTCCTCTCCCGCTTCGACAGCCCCGTCGACATCTCTCGCGCCGCGGCCGTCTCGCTCCTCTTTCACGCCTCGCTCGCGGAGCAGGGCATCCGCTTGTGGGCGCAAGAGCGCGGCTTCGAGCTGCCGGCGCAGCCCGAGGACGAGAACTGCGCCGTGCGGTGGCTGTGCTATTCGGCGTTGCTGCACGAGTCCAACCGGCCGGCGAGGACGGCAGCAGGCGAACGGCACAGCGTCTTCATCGACGGCGAGGGGCGGCTCTCGTCGTGCGGCACAGCGGCAACGGAGGGCGAGGAGGAGGAGGAGGAGGAGGACGAGGAGGCATATCCAGGCGTTCTCGGCCACGGCGAGGGCGTGGCGCGGCTCAACACGCCGACCCGCCTCCCGTCAACGCTGGGTGACGAGCGCGCCGTGAGCGCGTCGGCTGGAGATGGCCACAGCCTCGCCCTCACCGCCGACGGCGCCGTTTGGAGCTGGGGCGGTGGATTCTTTGGCAAGTTGGGCCACGGCGACGAGCAGGACCAGTGGCAGCCCAAGAAGATCGAAGCTTTCGCTGACCAGCGCGTCGTCGCTGTGTCGGGTGGAACCGCGCACAACCTCGCCCTCACCGCCGACGGCAGCGTCTGGAGCTGGGGCTGGGGAGCCTATGGCATCTTGGGCCACGGCGACACGCAGAGCTCGCTGCTGCCGAAGAAGGTCGAGGCCTTGGCTGGCCAGCGCGTCGTCGCTGTGTCAGCTGGAGCGAGTCACAGCTTCGCCATCACCGCTGACGGCGCCGCCTGGAGCTGGGGCGACGGAGGCTGCGGCAAGCTTGGCCACGGCGACCTGCAGAGGCAGCTGCTGCCGAAGAAGATCGAGGCCTTTGCTGGGCGGCGCGTCGTCGCCGTGTCGGCTGGACGCGACCACAGCCTCGCCCTCACAGCCGACGGCGCCGTCTTGAGCTGGGGCCGGCTGGGCCATGGCAACGCGCAGCGCCAGCTGCTGCCGAAGAAGGTCGAGGCCTTTACTGGGCAGCGCGTGGTCGCCGTGTCGGCTGGAGGGGCTTACAGCCTCGCCCTCACCGCCGACGGCACTGCCTGGAGCTGGGGCGATGGAGACTGGGGCATGCTGGGCCACGGCGACCAGCAGCAGCAGCTGCTGCCGAAGAAGGTCGAGGCCTTTGCTGGGCGGCGCGTCGTCGCTGTGTCGGTTGGAGTCTACCATAGCCTCGCCATCACCGCCAATGGCGCTGCCTATGCTTGGGGCGAGGGCGAGGACGGCTGCCTTGGCCACGGAGAGGACCTGTCGAACCAGCTGCTGCCCAAGAAGATCGTGGCATGGGCGCCGGGGCAGTGAGAGGCTGCCTGCTCCTGGGCCTGGCACGCCTCCGGGGGTACCCCGAATATCCGTGCCAGCGGCCCGCCGCGGCGCCGCCGCCGCCAGCCCCGGCTGCGGCCGCTGCGGCGCAACCGCCCACCTCATTCGGCGCTCGCGCTCCCCCGCTCCCGCATTTTACTTTTTTCGTTCTCGCGTGTGGCGGGAAGGCGCGCCCCTGCTCGCTGTTTTACCGTTTTATTTTAGTGGAAGGTCGTGGTGAAAAGCCTCGCGGGGCCGCACTCCGCCAAATTTATGGATACCATGCTGGGGGCATCGCTCCTTCAAGAGTCTCACGCTCAGGTCTCGCCTGAGGGGTGGCCCGTCTACCGTCTACCGGTAGACTGGGGTACAGTGGGTTTCGGGCATTAAGAAAACGTATGATGTAACATACTTCCGGGCCGGTGTGCGGGGAGCGAACCTTAACGACCGCCCAGAAGCTTTCTGAGCGAACCAATCGGGCCAGGATCATCAGCATATGTCCCCTCCACAGCATCGTGGGCGTTTGAGCGGTATTTGAGGAGCACCGCGACTCTGAAGTTCGGCCGGGTGGTCTGCAGACCGCCCCCCCGGAGCAGCAGAGGCTCCGTGGGGTCGAAAAGTCGACGCTGGGAGTCGCACTCTCGTCAAACCGTCGCAACACCACGCGGTACGCACGTACCGCCCACATCCCCTCCACCGCTGAGAAGGCGCAGATCGACCGCCGGGCCGCGTAGCCGTCGTTAAGGAGCCGTTTTTGGAGCCGTACGAAGAGAGGTCCCAGACGGGCGAAGATGCGGTTTTTCGACAACCACACGCGATGTGGTATCTGGTTTTTGCTAAAAACGGGCCGCCTAGTGCAGCATCACTAGTACAACACGCAACCACTCTCAAAGCTCCACACTAGCCGGTATAGGCGAGAACCGACGGCGTCACGGTCGCCGGAGTGGACGCACTGCACACACACTGTGACCGTGTCGACGGTGTGACAGTGAGCTGACACAATCGTCGGCGCCGCGCTATCGCGGCGCCCCGCAGTCAACACGCCTCAGGCACACCCCTGAACGCGCCATGGGCGCGCAGATACACCGCAGCGCCGTGGAGAATCCACACCTGGCCGGTCCCGAGCCCCGTCCTGGGCCTCCAGGCGGCCGAAGATCGGCCTTCGGGCGGGATGAACTTGTCGGAAATGGAGCAAACTTGGCGCGGCTCGCCGCTCGCGGTACCGGGTGAGCCTGGATAGGGCAAAATCTGGGGTGAATACGAGGGACAGAGGTCGCAAGTTTGTCGCGCAAGTTTGCGCGGCGTGGCGCTGCCCCGCTGCCGAGGGCGCCACCAACCCGTGGCGGCGGCATTTCCAGCCCAAATTGGGCGTTCCGTGCGCCTTGCCGGCGAGAGTGGACGGGCTGTGCATCGTGGGGGGGGGTGACTGAGAGAGAGGTGGTCGTGTGCCTACTTTGTCGGCCGCGCGCGAGGAGAATACTGGGTGTGAGGCGCGCAGGAGGCGAGGGTGGGCGCGCCGGCGGTCGAGCCACCGAAGAATTCGACGTGGCGCAGCTCCGCGCCGGCGGGCACGACCGAGCAGATGCTGTCGGCGGCGGTCACGCGACGAGGGAGAGCCGCAGGAGCCCTCTGAGAGCCATGGGCCGCGGGTCCCTCTGGGCCGCAGAGCCTTCTGAACCGCCCGCGCCTTCTGAACCGCCCCTTGCTTGAGCTAGAACAGGCTCCGCTGCTGCTCCCGGGCTCTCTGGCGCCATAGGAAGCCAGCGCGCTTCGCCTGGCTCAAGGCTCTGCCCAGGGAGGCGTTGATGTGCCAGTGGTCCGCAGAGACAGGCTGCTCAGCGCGGCCGGCGCAGCTG